TTCTTCTTCTTCTTCTTCTTCTTCTTCTTCTTCTTCTTCCCCTCCTCCTTCTTCTTCTTCTTCTTCTAATTCACCTCCTCCTTCTTCATTGCACGATAAAAATTAAGCCATCATTTCCCAATAATAATATTATTATGAGCTCGCACTTACTTCGCTGAGAGGGAAACTTGAAAGTTAAAGAAACTTGGCTCAAATCTTTCAGCCTCAGAGAACCGATGGGAGCCAATAAGAAGATGAAGTAGCCGTGTTTGTACTCATTGGCTGTTTTCTTAAGAGGTTTATTCCTGTCTTTTAAAAATAAACATTCGTTGTCCGTTTTTACACAGGCATGCGTTAACCCATTCACATAATCTAAGACAAAAGCCTCGCCGAGATAATTGATGAGGGCTATTGTCCAGTTTGTCCAGTTTTGATAATATTTCATTTAGCTAGCGCTTATTTGAAGTAGGCCTAAGTGTGATAATTCATTAGTTTATTTAAACTTGACTTAAAATGGTATTGCTATCATTTTTGGTAGGTTAGCATAATTCCTATAACTAAGTCGATAAGACTTAACAGCAGTTGTACGTTAAAGAGTAAAACAGTAAATCTTTGAAAATTCGTTTACAGCTAGGCATGTTATTGTGTAATAAGATATCAAAGTTATAAGAAAATTGATAAATCAACCTTAGAGATATTTACTTTTTTCACTAGCAAATGAAACAAGAAACAACAATCCAACATTGAAGCCAGTTGCCGAGGATAACGCAATAAAGTATGTTTCTAATCTGCTAAATTGATGAACTTACCTGCAGACTGTAATTCATTTATCCCCAAGATTTCGAAGAAAACTTAAAGACTTATTCAGGTGTTCTCAACCTGAAGACAGCCTGTAGGCTCGGCAAGAATCGAGAAGAATTTTTGACGAAGGCTTAAATACACGCACTCCACAGGCCTATCTGAAGGGATGGGGACGCTTTCGGATGTCTTGAATAGTATCGTAAACAACATACGCTTTATGGCAGTTTCCAAAACACATTTCAGCTTCAAGCCAGGCTTTTGTCTCCTCCTCAAATCAAAGATGTCTCACTGTTCAAACAAAAACAATGTCTGCTATTCCTGGGTGCGGAGACGCCGCGGAGACCTCTTTTAGCATTCACAGGTAAAGATTTCCTATTAACTTCCCATACCCTGAACACTAAACAGAGCACAGCGATTGGCTGAAAAAGGGTCTTCATTCATTATCTCCATCTAAATTTGTCCGTGGAGCCAAGAGACACCGTGGGGAGACGTCCTGGCTATTCCAGCGACCAGATAAGGCAGACGGCACTACTATACGATTTGTACACAACAGCTCATTTACCCCCTCTTCAAACTGTTATGTCTTTTCTTTCGCTTTTCTATTAATCTCCTTCACGTAGTTTTATTAAACAGATTAGGTCCCAGATAAGCTGACATCACTAGGCGTCTCTAACGATTCCACTGGCGCCCTCTGACCTCAAATCCTTTACAGGTCGCAAGGAAACATTATTATCTCGGTACACTTGAGTGATATGACGCCGTAGCGAGAAGGCTACGTCATAGATGTGTATAATAGTGAATACACGTTTAGCAGCTTTCGACTACAATTTTGAGCGTGTTAGGGTGGGGATTGTTCTGTTTTGTTTTGTTTTGTTTTGTTTTGTTGCGTTTGGGTTTTTGCTTCGTTTTTGTTGAGAGCTGACTCCTGACATGTACACATGCTTCGATGAACAGGGAATGCGTTATAACATTATCGTCCTCTCGGATTTGTGACCCGATATCTGTCTGTACGTGTCAATAGAAGCTTACAGCAACTTTGTTACATTTGGAAGGTCGTCAGAGTAGTAAAGTTCAAGGTTACGGGATAGTTTTATTCAGGAACGTTTAGATTCACAGTAACAGACGTCTTCACAAGAGATGGAGTATCTGTGTATTGTCTTAATGCACCATGTGCGAAACTGTAGACTATGGCAGCCTGTTCAATGGCAAGACGCTATCATAACATTTGAAAATGATCCCCCTAAATCCAAAAGTCAAATCCAAAAGTGTACAAATTTGAGGCTGTGAAAACTGAGAACAGTGCAGAACAATACCTTTCCAAAGAACATAATATCCTGCGGTGAGAAGTTTGCAATGGAACCAACAATCTTATTTAAAGACCACAATTTCAACTATGGTATCTTAAAACAATACATAAATGTAATGGTTTATGTTGAACACCCCCAAAACACTATTGAGATAATGCTGACAAGCGTCAGTGGTTACGTTGCGGTTTATCCCTTGTCACACGTAGGAGACTCGAGTTCGATTCCCGCGTAAGGAGAATTTTTATAGAGCGTCTCGATCTTTTTATTGGGACCTTATATCCGTCTCTGCCCGGGCTGACCCTTATAAGCAGGATTGAAGCCTTCATCCTAAATGGTCATAACTCCTTGGATGAGGAGGTTGGGGGGGGGGGAGTAAATTACTTGTATAAAAATATAAAGATACTTTAGGAGGCCAACTATACTTTCACCCTGCACGACAGGGCCAATCCAGTCAGAGCGAAATACGAAGTCCTAACAAAAAGACGGATATATTCGATAAAATATTATGACATGTACTTTCTTAACCAGGGAATCAAATCGCGGCCAACAAGAAGCATCCTGAGTTTAACACGTACCACAGACGTCGGTACAATAAGGCACCCATGCCCCTCGCAGATGTAGCGAGAGAAGTGGACTCAATACCTGAATTTCATCTTTTTTCTCCTTTGAAAAAAAACATGATTTTAAAAAGGACCAATTTCAAGTTAATGGAATTCAAATCTTTAAAAAAAAAAGCTAATTAAATGTCAAAAGAGAAGCGAGCTTATTGTTGATACACTTTTAATTTTTAATATATTGTTTGTTGTTTGTTTTGTTTTTAACTTTTGAAATGATAATTTGTTCTCTTAGATCTTCATTCGGAATGTTTCTAAGTACCACATATTATTATTTGAAAAGGGGAGGAAAAAAATCAAAGTGTTGCGTAACTTAACTCATCTTTAAAAAAACATAAATAAAAAATCTTGGCGAGGTAGATCTTGGTGACGCCACGCGAGCTTTGCTCAACTGGAACGTACCTAGAAATGTTTTCGCACATCCCGTGGGCAAACACAACAATGACTAACCTGTGGGCACACACAACAATGACTAACCTGTCCGCCAGAAGACATCGTCGTCCATGGGGTGCCGGCAGGTCCAGAGAGAGTTAACTCCCCTCCGTCTGGCCCGGGGATCATGGCTCCGCGCTGTCAGACACTGTTATCTCCCCGGAGTCGCCACTCACAACTTTTACAAAAACATGGCCTCACAAAATGAAATGAAAGAAGAAAAAAAAACGAAAAAAATAAATAAAAACTGTAACGAAACAGGTGGGGGAGAAGAAAAAACAAACCACGAAATAAGTGAGGAAAAAAACAGACACGAAACAAAAAAGAACCACCCAGTGAAAGTGAAGCAGGTGCGAGATACGAAAAAAAAACCTCCTTAAAAAAACTGTGGGAATTTCCCAAAACAAAACGTGAGCAGAAAAAGTTCCGCGCGTGAGTAAATGGCGAATAATAAATCCTGTGGGTCGGTCGGTTGGTCGGTCGGTCGGCCGTTCAGTCGGGCGGATGGTGATGGGTGGGTGGGTCGGTGCTGTGGTCGGACGGCGTATGTAGTCCCCTCACGTCTGTTACTGTAGTTGCTGTGGTGGTGTCAGTGGTGGTGGTGGTAGAGGCGAAGGGATGATGGTGGTGGTGTTGGTGGTGATGATGATGACACTCACTCACGCTCTCTCTCTCGCTGCTCACCCGGCGATGCCAGTGCGAGATACTGGAGCTCATCTCGGCGACGGCGGGGGCCGCACGGTTCTCGGAACAAACAGAGAGGCGCACGTCACTCACTCACTCTCTCACACACTCTCACACACTCTCTCAGTCTCATTCACACACTCTCACACACACTCTCAGTCTCACACAAACTCTCATACACACTCTCAGTCTCACACACTCTCAGTCTCACACAATCTCACACTCTCAGTCTCACACACTCAGTCTCACACACTCTCACACACTCAGTCTCACACTGTCTCAGTCTCACACACTCTCACACACTCTCACACACTCTCACACACACTCTCACTCTCACACACTCTCACTCTCACACACTTTCACACACTCAGTCTCACACACTCTCACACACTCTCACACACTCTCTCAGTCTCACACACACTCTCACACACACTCTCAGTCTCACACACTCTCACACACTCTCACACACTCTCACACACTCTCTCAGTCTCACACACACTCTCACACACACTCTCAGTCTCACACACTCTCACACACTCTCACACACTCTCACACACTCTCTCAGTCTCACACACACTCTCATACACTCTCACACACACGCTCAGTCTCACACACTCAGTCTCACACACTCTCTCAACTAACTCGAGCCTTGTTCAGGTGCCAGGGTTACTGGTGGCGGTGGTGGCGGTGGTGGGGGTGGTAGAAGTGGTGGTGGTGGTGGTGGAGTGGTGTGGTGGTAGTAGGGGTAGCGGTGGAAGTGGTAGTGGTGGTGGTGGTGGTGGCGGCGGTCGGGGTGATGGTGGTGGTGGTAGTGGTGGTGGTGGTAGTAGTAGTGGTGGTGGGGTGGTGGTAGTGGTGGTAGTGGTGGTGGTATTAGTGGTGGTAGTGGTGGGGGTACTGGTGGTGGTAGTGGTAGTGGTGGTACCGGTAGTGGTAGTCATGATATTGGTGGTGGTAGTGGTGGTAGTGGTGGTAGTGGTGGAAGTGGTGGTAGTGGTGGTAGTAGCAGTGATTGTGGTGGTGGCAGTAGGGGTGGTGGTGCTACGTGCCTTCTCTCTCTTGACTAGACGCCTCAATGACTGACGAGATGTAGGATACTCCCCTTCTCAATCTGCGCGTACCGGTAGTCGATTACTACAGCGTTCAATACCAATCGCAAGACCGATACTCATAAAAAACAATG